GTTCTCTCCCACCTAAGTCCCTTTCTCTCCTGCATAACATTTTCCGCTATCTCGGTGAAAAGAGACCCTGCAATGCCAGCTGCTACCTGGCCCCCTAGGGTCTCCAAGCTGCCTTCCAACTCACAGAGGGCTAATTCTGAAGCTTCCACTGTTTCCACCCTTCCCCAGTGCTGGGTGTTAGAAAAAAGCATAAAACCTACATGTGATTTATTCCCACCAGGAGGTTTAAACATTTTAACAATAAGGTATTAACAAAGGGCCATATGGTAGAAAACATGCCAGGAAGCTGCTCAGGCTGAGAGTTTGGGTGGGGCAGGAATTGGTAAGGGCCTGGCTGTACCTATTTGAGTTTTTTTTAAGCCTACCAGTGAAATTAAGACAAATGTAAGAGTAGGACCAATGCGGATATAATTGGCTTAGGTGAACTATGGGAAAGAATGTGAACCCTTTGGTACTCAGCCAATGAGGAGTCAGGGGAGGGACTCGCGTACTAGGGAATAAATTACTTGGCGCCAGACACCCGATCTTGCAAGACCTTCATTAAAGCCCCACTCCGCTGTTCTCTGTCTCCGTGTCCACTTACTGAGTTTGGACCAGTGGGTGTGTTTCTCACATGGGGAAGGCTGCACCCCTCTAGGAGGTACTTTACCCTAGAACAATTCCTCACTAGGGGTTCCCAAGTTGGAAGCCCCACAGCTGGGGGGATAACAACAGGTGAAGCTGCACCCTCTGCTGCTGCATCCACTGGGGCCTCCCCGTCATCCACAGGGGGGATTCTGGGCATCTCCCCACCATTTCTAGGGGCAGCCCTCCCAAAGGTAGCACCCATTTGGACAGATTTTGGGTTCAGAGGTACAGCCAGATGTAACTCTGGGGAGAGGAAATCCCAGGGCAAAATGCCTCTAAAATCGAAATCAGTCAAAGAGAGAAAGTTTGAAACCCATTTATTGCTTACAAACCCTGGTCCAGGCCATTTCTCTTTCCTGCTCTGGTAGAAGCAAGCAAGACCTCCCCCCACCCTCTCACCCTCTCGGGTTCAGATAAGCCCTCAGTTGCCCAGGTAATTACCCACTGATATGGAGATGAACTTTTATCCACCCCTAAGGAATGCCTGCTGATATGCGGATGCACTAAAACCAGCCGAGATATTCTGGAAATATTACAATTGTACCCACACCCGCCTTGGCCTCAGCCTGTCCTTCCAT